AAGAAATGATATACCAGTTATCTGAGAAATCTGGAACCACAACAGGTCGTGATAGCTAACAAAATGTGCAATGACTTAGTCAACAGATATCTAGAACCTCCAGAGGACATCATGGACATTTCATGTAATGTGGTTTTTAAGTTTTCAATGAGTCAAATGACCACAAAAATTAAAGTTCAGCATATCTAACCTCCTTAATCCTGAACACTGACCAAAACATTTTTAAAAATGTGTTCTTTTCTTTAAAATCTCATCTCCATAACAAACCAAAACAGGGTTATCTGTGCCTTGTTTGAAGGATTATATACCTATTTCTATAAACGTATTTTTCAAATGCATTCATCCTTTGTTCAAAGTTATTAATTTTAAAGTGTGACCAGCTGGGAAGTGACTGAATGCATCATATTATAGATTAAGTGTAGCAAGATTTCAGGATAATTTGAAGCTCTACAACCCTACCAGATGTTATATGGTGACACATCCCCTGCCAGACAAGTATCTTCTATGAAAAATCACTTGTATTGAATTTTCCCCTACCTGCTTCCAAAACAGTAGTGTGGAAAATACTAAACCTGGAAACCTGAATAAAGTCAGCTTAAAATGCGGAGCTTTAACTACAGAACTCTAAACTAGACTGGCTTATACAATGTAATCTATTTTTGGAGGTTCTTTGGTTGGCATATGAAAAATATGAATGTTTGATTATTATAATGCTTACAACTAATATCATTAGGAAATCACAACTCTGTCCATCCATTACAGCTCCTTTCTTTTTTCTCCCCCTTCCATTTTACATTTTGATCTTAGTATTTCTCCCTTTTCTTGGTAGTTTTCTAGCTACTCCTCCTCCTTCCATCATTCTTCCCTACACAGAATTTTGGAATCCGTTACTCTGGAATTTTCAAAATTCATCATGTACTTCAGAAAGATTTACGTCCAGTATTACATTCATTCTTTTCCACTCTAGAGAAGAACATTGTTAAAAACCAAAATCCTGATAAACCCATTTGACCTGAAGATTACTCCTTGATACACTTCTTGAGAGACCTGAAGGTATATGTAGTATTTAGAATAAATAGTAAGAGTGATTTAAGATTCAGGTTTATGACTTAACACTACGGATGCTCCAAATATACAGCAGGTTGAAACACAAACTTAGACTGAAGTAAAAAGAACTTTTGTTTGGAACTTTGTAATGGAACTTAAGTTCCATTAACTGAGGTCTTTATTTCTCTAGAGGGCTTTTGTGAACCAGTCAACATCATCACCATTGACCAAATAAATAATAAGAAGTTTGACTTAAGCATATACAAGCACTCTCTATTGTTTTACTAAAAGACACAATTATAATACTAAAAACTGATGAGAATTTTAACTATCAAAAATTACCTTAAAAACTGCACACTCAGAAAACAAGAATTTATAAAATAAAATTCTTGTCTTCATATGTTTAAACTCAAGGGTTTTCCCCCATGTGAAACTGAAACATATATAAATATAAACTAATTCCTGCACAAAGTTTCCACATTTCAAAATCTCTATATAAATAATGAGTTCTGATTTAATAATAATTAACTTTAATTATTTTTCTTATACTAACCTTCTGAATCCAATAGGCCAGTTACATCCTTCAGATCTATTATCCCTGGCAGGCAACATTTTTTTTAAATGCATCTTATATTGAACATACTTGAATGCTTTCAGTCTAAAACTATTTTGAACCAAACAGTCGAAAGGTTTACTAAAAGAGAAATGTCAGCATATATTCTGAAGTACAAATTGTTTACTATTTTATAGGACTCATATGTATGTATATATGAGTAATGTTTTATTTAGGAGTACAATTTAAATATGGTGTTAAATAACATCTTGACATGGACAGCTATCTGCATGAGGATAATATGGACCTACTATTACATGACCATAAACTTACCTCTACTTTACCCCGAGGATACCATTTTCTGGACTGTGCAACAGCTGCATTTCAGCTAGAACTGAAAGAGTTTCTATGCAGAAACAACTAACCACTTCCAACTCTATCCTATCCATCTAAACTATAAAAGTAAATTCACCTAGGAACATTTACAGCCATCTGCTCAGAGCAATTTCCTCTCTGAGTCACAGTCTGATTTCCATATGGTCTCAAAGGTGAAAAATTACTCTTTATTATTACACTTTCTATACTACAACTTGAGACCTGTTATAGTAAACCCAGCTATAGTGAACCCCCTGATAGAGTGAGCATTTCCTGAAATCTTATTTCTTTCCAATGAATTCCACAGGGGCAAATTCCTATTACAATGAACAATCACTGAGCAGCACAGGTTAATTTAATGGAGAACACTTTAAAATAAGCCTTTACCATCTGTTTCCACCTCTAATGGCAAATCAAAAAGGAACAATTCACAATTGTATCATAAAAAAACATAAGTGATTTAAATTACTGTGTATATTCTTTAATGAACACAGCATGCATCTGTTCAATTGTCTTCACCTTTCCTACTCAAGACAGGAAGTAAATTCCTGTTCCCTAATTTAACACACTTCTCCCTAACTGGCACATAGGAGAAGGAGGATATTCACTGTGCTTCCTTTACTGATACTTTATTATCATATTACAATGTGATAGTTTAATTTTTCCACAATTGCATTCATTTCAATTATTCAGAATAATTTTTAGATTAATACTTGCATTTCAAGCTATCCACTTCAGTTCAGTGAATTTTTTTTAAGTTGTTTAGAAATTGTGGATTAAATTTTTATTTGAGAAAGGAAAACAAATACTATTTTTTATCCCTAGCGTGTTAAAAGAAAAAAAAAAAAGCTAATATAAGATATCTTTCAATTTTTCAACAAAGCCTAATCCACTATGGTGCTGATAAGCCAAATTTCCACTGACTTTACACCTACGTTTCCTTGGGGATAGCTTTGGCTCTTAATTAATTAAGATCATACCTCAACTTAATACATTTTTTTAAAATCGGAAAATACAATTAAAATGTTTCTTACACCCATGCACAAAAAGTCTCTTTTTTGGAGTCAACAGAAATTCTTTAGCTATAATTAGGAAAACCTAAGTATATGGAAAAATTCACAATTAGCAAATGTGAAAAGTGAAATCGAAAAGTTAATTAGCTAAGTCTTGCAGGACTAGAGCATAAAATAGAAGGATAAAACAGAACTGTATGTATCAATAAGATGGGAGGAAGCAGGGAAGAAGAGACTCTGACTCAGGAAGCAACAGACTAATGCAGCATTCTCCCCCACTTTCCCCTGAATATAAACCTCATAAAAGATTCCAGATCTGAAATTGTTTCAAGTATTGTGGCAGAAAGTTAAGAACAGGAAAAAGAGGATGACAGGGGAAAGCAAGCTAGTGGCAGAGCGACAAGCAACAAAAAGGTGTTACACAATCAGCAACACAGCAAGAAATGTGAGAAACTTGGAAAGCCACTCATAGTCAGCTTTACATAGGGATAACCAGAGCACAAAGAGAATATATTCAAGTGAACTTTTCATTTAGGAAAAATAATTTCATGCTGAAAAGGGGAGAGTGATTTAAATATCAAGCCCGAGAGAGATCCCAAATACAAATTCCAAATTCCATGGGTGAAATTCTGAAAATACGGGCAAAAATCCAGCTGATTTTAACAGAAAACAAAATTTCACTCCAGAATGAATCCATAAGGTTAACTGGCATGCTTCTTCATGTTTTAGAGATTTGATTCATGAGAAACATTTTATTCCTTTTACTTTCCTCATCTTTTCCTTGACATAAATTTCTTGATGTGAAAAATTCAACATCAAATCATAGCTGTAAGGGAAA